CTGGCCATTAGGGTCAGAAACTCATTGAAGTGGATGATGGATGCAAACCTTGTACCTTTGCTGAGAAGGTACTTCTCTGAGAGCTTCTACCTCTAAGTCTGAGTCCAGTCAAAAATGAGGTTACCTGAGTAACAAGTAAATAAGAACAGACATTAAAACAAATAAAAAACAACCCTTAACCTCCTCAGGCTCTAAAAGAACTGGCCAGAGACTCACTAGTAAGAAATTTGTTCTGGCCGAAGCCGGTTTGGCTCAGTGGTAGAGCATCGGTCTGTGGACTGAAGGGGTGTTTCCGCTCTCCCAGCTAGAGTTGGATTACCGCCTGGCCCCTCATATCGCCAAATTGAATTTCTTCAAGACTCTTTTCATTTGTGTGCAGAACCTGAACCTTCTCCAGAACCTGAACCCTGAATTGGAACCCTTTCCACGCTGGACGTGAAAGAGATTCCTACAGTAACAAAAACAAATATTTTATTCAATTACTAGCTCATCATTAATCTTGAGAAACAAAAGCATTTGATTTTTAAATATTAAACATTCACTTTCATTTTGTTGTAATTCTTGTTGCCCCAACTGTTCATTACAGAAGGCGTATAGCACGTGTCCTCACTGAGTTCCTTGATCTATGGATGGGTGTGATGGTAGCTCATTCTTAAACTGTTGTAGCTCTTAGACATAAGTCACAGGTTGTACTTTATGCCGTAGCCTTTAACTCTCCCTTGCAAGGCCTTGGAGTTGGACAAGGACTAGCCTTCTCTAATTCCTGCGATGGGTACAACCCTAAAGGCAGCCCATGGCGTCAGTGTCGAGTGTCAGCCTGCTGGAGTTATTCACTTTCTTATGAACTCAGCTTTAAAAATGATGCTGTTTTTTCTCTGTAAAATGATGATGATGATGATGATGATATCAATTCTATAAAGCTAATATACTGTGTGTAAAGCATTTGAAATAGTATCTGGCAAATAATTAGCACCATATATGTGTTAGATGTTATTCTTTTATCCAGTATTCTATATATTTATTGCAGGAAGGTTTTAAGATACTTTGAATCCAGTATATTACTGGGTGTGGAAAATCTTATATAATAAAAGCCTAATAAGCTAAGAGTCCGGTCAACAGGTCAGCCATTGAACCAATCAAAGCATAATATGCTAATGATATGCTAAGGCCGCTCAACCACTCACTATGATGTGCACTGACCACCAGGGGGCAAGTGCTCTGACCCGTAGGTGAGCCGCTGCCGGGGTTCTGCAGATCAGGACTGAGTGAGACGAGACAGGCCAGACACACCCTGGACCCTTCTACGGTCCCTCCCTGGCCCTGTTCGTACACTGGTGGGGTCCTTCAGCCTCCCGTGCCCTCTCACAATTTTGTGCATTGGGCCTCTAGTGTTTATATATTTTCTAACACCTATTATCAGTTTAAACATTTGTTTGGATAGGCAGTTTACCTCTGTATTGTAAATGTAACTATACCTCCCTGAAGTCACATAAAGAACATTTATATATTTTAGAAGAAATATGTACATTTGTAAGTATATAAATTTTATAAAAGCTATGACTCAGCAGTTTTAAGTCTAAAATCAGCAAAGGGATCTGGGTTACCACCAGACTTTCCTTATAAAACATAGCACAAAATTGCTTAATTTTCAATTTTATGAGCAATTTTATTTTTTATTAAGTACATGATGATTGTGCATGTATATGTACATGAAAATACATTCAAATATTTGGATACTTTAAATATATATTTTTTGTAGGACTTCATATGCTAGATAAAAAAATTGTAAATTCAATGTAGTATTATACTTGCTAATAATTACCAATATAGGGCAGGGTAAAAGTAGGTTTACAGTTGTGAGTATACAAAACAGAGTTCATTATTTGTAATTATTGTATTCTTTTCCATATGAGCAAATAAACCCCTACTTTTGCTCCATCCTGTATTTTGACTTGGAGATAATTTTTATTAGAATTTCTGGGATATTTCATATTAAGATTCTAGAAAACATAAAGGATGACAATCCACTAAATAAAAGCAATTTGGGGTAAGAAATGGAAGCTGTCTATAAAGTAAACAAATCAGTATATGTTTAAGTTATAAAGTATTTTTAGTTTAAACCATTTTCTTCCTGTTGTTTACTATAAGTCAACACCACCCCTTCAACACCTTACCTGAGGATCTCTTTCCCATTGATTTTTAGAGAGAGTGGAAGGGAGGAGGAGGGAGAGAGAGACATCGATGTGAGAGAGACACATTGATTGGTTGCCTTCCTTATGCACTCTGGGGCCAAGGATTGAACCTCATCCCAGGTATGTGCCCTTGATCAGAAACCAAACTCGCCACCCTCGGTGCTTTAACCACTTATCAAGCCAGCCAAGGCTAAGAAATTCTTTTTTCTTTTTTTTTTTCTTTTTTAATATACTTTATTGATTTTTTACAGAGAGGAAGGGAAAGAGACAGAGAGCTAGAAACGTTGATGAGAGAGAAACATAGTTCAGCTGTCTCCTGCACACCCCACACCGGGGACGCGCCCGCAACCAATGTACATGCCCTTGACCAGAATTGAACCTGGGACCCTTCAGTCCACAGACTGAAGCTCTACCACTGAGCCAAACCAGTTTTGGCACGAAGAAATTCTTAAAATTCCCTTGAAAAAAAGCATGTCCACTATATTTTAAATATATATCTTAAATATCTAAAGTATATTCCCCCTCCCCCCCACCAAAAAAAAAATCCTGAAGGATGAATTTCTGAGGTCTCCATTAATATGTAGGAACTTGAATTTAATGGCAAGGCACTATGAATAATTGGGAACATTGAACTATTCAGTAAGTATTCTGGACCAGTGCTCACTATAGAGAAAATAAAATTAAATCCCTATCTCAGAGCACACACAAAGTAAATCTCATATGCATTAAAGACCAAATGTGGAAGTGTACAATTTTATAAAGAAAAGAGAAGAATATTTTTGTATATAGAGAATTCTCACATAAAACAAAAATACCCATAAATCTTAAAGGGAAAATTTCCTGATATTAAAATTAAACCTGGCAAACACATTCCAACCAAGTGAGAAGACAGCTGCAGACTGAGCGGAAATGTCTGCAGGGTCTATATCCCACACACAGTTAGGGTTCAGGATGTGCACAGATTTACAGATAGTAAGGAAAAGTCTAACAACTCAGGAGAAAACTGAAATGGATGTGAATGGGTGACCCACAGAGAATGGCCTGAATATCCAAAAGCTTATGGATAGATGCTCAACTCCACTGATATTCAGAGAATTGCCCTCACTCGCAAAAAAGGTCCCAGTGTAGTGGATAGTGGGTGTGGGTGAAAAGGTGCTTTGAACAGACTATAGGAAAGGTGTGGTTTGCCTTATTTCCTCTGAGTAGAGCAATTGCGATAGAAATATATGGCCTTGCAGCCTATATAGTGGCACCATTGGGGACCTAGAGCTTGTTGCATAGGAATATACTATCATTCATGTAATTTTTTAAAATTGTCCAATGTTCACCAAATCTTATTAGTTTTGAGTTTATATATATATATATATATATTATTTATAATATATATTGGTTATTGATTTATAAATATATATATTATTTATAAATATATATATTATTGATTTTTTACAGAGAGGAAGGGAGAGAGATAGAGAGCTAGAAACGTCGATGAGAGAGAAACATCGACCAGCTGCCTCTTGCACACCCCCTACCGGGGATGCGCCTGCAACCAATGTACATGTCCTTGACCGGAATCGAACCCGGGACCTTTCAGTCGGCAGACCGATGCTCTACCGCTGAGCCAAACCGGTTTCGGCCATTCATGCAATTTTTAAAGACCTTTTCCTGGCAAAAAAAAAAAAAAAAAATGCTCACTATGTATAATAATAGTTGGGAAAAATAGAATAGTGTGAAAAAGAAAATAAATCCTGCCATACAGAGATACCTACAAGCAGGATTCTGGTGTGTTGCCATGGCTGGCATTGCTCAATGGTTAGAGCGTCATTGCAGGAACCAGAGGATCTTGGGTTTGATTCCCAGTCAAGGACATATACCTGTGATGCAGGTTTGTTGCCCAGACCTGGTTGGGCACATGCAGGAGGCAACCAATTGATGTGTCTATCTCACATTGATATTTCTCTCTCTCTTTCCCTTCTTCCCTTTCTTCCACTCTTAACTAAAAAAGCGATGGAAAAATATTCTCGGATCAGGCTTAAAACAATAAATTTTAAAAATATTCTGTTTCTTTTTTTTCTAAGCATACAAAAATATAAATACATATAAAATGTGATTATGTTATATAATAGATAAAATTTAATACCCTTTTTAAAATTTTTTTCCACTGGATAAAACTGTGTTGAATTGCTTAACTTTCCCCTTACATGTTCTTCATAAGGACTTATGCTTTTATGGCCCCTCCAAAACCTTTCATTGAATGAATATACCATAATATAAGATAAAGAATAGTATTTACTATTTTATGGCTTTTAAAATTTTATTTGGCCCTAGCCAGTTTGGCTCCATGGATATAGAGCATTGGCCCACAGATTGAAGGGTTGCAGGTTCAATTCCAGTCAAGGGCACATACTTTGGTTGCAGGCTCGATCCCCGCCCAGGGTCAGGGGGCATGCAGGAGGCAGCCAATCAATGTGTCTCTCTCAATCAATGTTTCTCTCTCTGTGTCTCTTCCCTTCCATACTCTCTCTGGAAATGAATGGAGAAAACTTTCTCAAGTGAGGAGTAACAAAGAAAAAACACAAAAAAGTTGTATTTGTATAAATAAAATTTGTTTAAAACTTTAAAAGCCATAAAATGATAAATACACATCACATTTTTGACAATCAATGCCTCTCAGCTTGCGGTTCAACTGGTACATGTCTCTGTGTTTTCAGAACTCTTCGACGGCTGACAAACCAGACTCTACTCAGGCATACACACGCTGACATTCTGCGCCCTGTCCTGAGGGCCCGTTTGAATGGGACAGTCTGTCTGTCACACATGGATAACTGAAGGTCTGCCTGTGAAGTCCACCTGCTGGACTCCCACAAGCTGTAAAACAGAGTTGATGGGTTTGTGATCCAATCTGTTCCTGTCACGGTGTATGAAATGGATGTCGTGACCTAGAAGGCAATAAGAATAAAAGGCAGAGGTTGGCATACATTATCACCTATTGGATTTATTGCTTACTAGAATTAAGGACGCTTGTCAACTTTTAATTAGTTCACAGGAAAAAATTAATCACCCAGAGTACACTATATTCTATGTGTAGTGCCATAATAATTTTAAATTAAGTAATAAAGCATGACAAGAATGTGGTTAAATAAGAGGGATACTTAATGTTTATGAGATTCAAGGGGCACCATTCTTAAATTATGACCTTGCATTAAGTTATAGTTAAGTAAAATATCCTGTCAAACAGGCAGAAAATGGAACTGACATAGATAGCAAGCTAGAAAATCACATCTGTTTCTTAAATATAATAATGGAATAAATCACTCGCTTAAAAATATTCACTCCCAAATACTGATTTACTAGGCTGCCTGCACATTGGCCGGTGTAACTCGGTTGGCTGGTGTCCTGTGCACTGAAAGATCGCCCATACTATTCCCGGTCAGGGCACAGGCCAGGGTTTCATGCTCGATAGTGGGCGTGCAGGGTAGCCATTGATGTTCCACTCTCACATCGATATTTCTCTCTCTTCCTCTCTCTCTAAAAATAAAAAAGATATTTTTCTTTTCACTTTGCAAGTATCTTTTTATTTTCTTGTTATTTTTATTTATTAAAAAATTTTAATGTTGACATTATTATAGGTGTTCCCCTCCTTTGTACAGCTTCACCCACCTCCCAAATAAAAAATATTTTTTAAAAGGCTATCTGCATTTTAACTGTAGACCAAAAGGAGCTGAAAATAAGGACATTAAAACAATCACTTAGATGGCTACAATTCTTTGACTGCTCAAATATAAATAAGTCATAATTTATAGTCCAGTTCTGTTTACTTATATTTTTGGGCTCAAGATGAGAATTTTAACTTAAAACAATAAATTAAGGAAACATTATTAGAGGCATGTCTTTTGCACTGTACTTATCTGCTATCTTTAGTCATCACTAGAGATTTAATATCATAAGCTGGCTTATTATCAAATAATACAAATAAAGCAAATGAAATACTGGCTTAGCCATGATACAGATGTGTATAAACACACACACACCTGGCTCTTTCCTTAGATGAGCTATTTTCTCCAGGAGAGAGAAAACCTCTAAGTAAGTGGTTCCCAACTTGGACACAAAGGACCCTCTCCCTGCGCTCTCATCCTTACACACTGAACGTGGGGGCCGGTGGCACTGAGACATGGAGAGGAGGGGCTCAGAAAACACCGTCCAACCTGAGGACGGAAACCAGTCCATCGGAAACGTGGCTACTGTTGTTCAGGTGAATTACAGGACTCCTCATAAACACGGCTTCATCTCGCAGGACTAACTGGTGTGCACCGAGAGGGAAAGGGAGCTTAAGTAACAGAGTTTAGCTTGTAGTGCTCCACACACAACAGGCCCCAAAATCATACTGTTTGGACAAAAATCCTCTAAGTTCCTTCTAGCTATCTAGAATGGATTAAAGTAAGTGTGAATTTTATAACTCTTAAAAGCTACATTCACTAACCTGGACCATTTTAAAGAGGAAGAAGAACCCAGAAAACAGTTTATAACTGCTTTTTGGCACTGTCACTGTGAGTGTTTGTCCCTGACTGCAGTCCTGGAAGCTGGCTGAGATTCAGCCTTCACCCACTGAGCAGAGTGAAGCCAAAGGAGTTCCAGGTGCTCCAAACTGATCAATAAGGCGTGGAAGCATGGGCTTTTGTGACTGTTATTGAATGCGCTGTCCCTGGGGCCGATGTGCTTTTTGAATGGACCAAATCTCCTCATTTTGTTAGAGAGAACTAACTACCCAGGTTCACTCATCTACTGACCCAAAAAAGTACTGATGACTTTCTCCTATTTGGAATGTTCACCTCCACTGAACTTCCTTTTTCCCCCCAATCCTCACTCAAGGATATGTTTTTATTTATTTTTTAATGGTTTTATTGATTTTCAGGGAGAAAGGGAAGGAGGGAGGGAGGGAGAGAGAGGGGGGGGGAATAACAATGAGGAGAGAGAATTATCAATCGGCTGCCTCTTGCACCCCTTTCCCCCACTGGGGATAGAGCCCAAAACCTGGGCATGTGCCCTGACCTGGAACTGAACTACGACCTCCTGGTTCATGGGTCCATGCTCACTGAGCCACATCAGTGAGACCAAGGATTTTTATTTATTTATTATTGATTTGAAAGAGAGGCAAAGAGGGAAATATCGATGTGAAAGGGAAACATCCATCAGTTGCATACCATACACGCACCGAACAGGGATCGAACCCACAACTAGGTATGTGCCCTGAGCTATATCTAATCCACACACAACACTTTGGTGTACAGGATGCTGCTCCAACCAATGGGGCCACCTGGACAGGGCTTCCATTGAGTTTCAAGTGTTTTAGCCACATACAGTCCACCAAACCACCGCTGACTTCCTGTCCCAAATACCTGAAAACCCTCGGGCCTGGAATGATGGGCACATCACATCCAACAGACAGTCATCAAAATACACACAAGCCTTTGAAAGCACAAGGTGCCCCTGAGAAAGCACAGCATCCTGATTGCTACCATGTCAAGCTGCCCATTTTTACGTGCTCGCTGTTTTACAAAGAAAGCAGGTAGCCCCTGGACTTCTGAAGCGCACGAGGTGCCCTTTGGGTCTGGGCTTTGATGCTTACCTGGACCTACAATGAGGGTCCCGCCTTGCTGAACTGGATCTCCTTGGAAATCAAAAAGAGGGCCGGTCACCGCCCGCCACAGGCTCCAAACGCTTCCTGAGAGGATGTTTGACTTTATATGGGGGCTCGGTTCTGAAATATTAGAAAGTGTCTTTAGATGCTATCAGTTTATATTCCATGAGATATTAAAAAGGTAACGTTGCTCCTTCTCTTTCTTGTGTGTCATCTTAACTTTTGTCTATCTTTCCTCAAAGAACGGATTCTCAGCCTTCCACTACTGATGCTTCAGATGAGATCATTCTTTGTCCTGTGTGATGTAGGGTGCTTAGCAGCCCCCTTCCCATCTACACCCACTAGATGACATGGCACCCACTACCCACCAAGTTGTGATGAATGAAAATTCTCCAGACAAAGTCAAATGTCCCCTGGGGGCAAAAGTATCCCTGGGTGAGAATATCTTTTTAAATTTTTTTATTTCTTGACTTTAGAGAGGAAGGGAGGGAGGGAGGAGAGAAAAGAAGGGAGGGAGAGAGGGAAGAAGGGAGGGGGGCCAGAGAGAGAGAATTGTTCCACTTATTCATGCATTCATTGGTTGATTCTTGTATGTGCCTTGACCAGAGATCGAACCTACAGCTGTGGCATATGGGGACGATGCTCTCAGCCTGGGCCAATTGCCTGATTTCTTAGTTTTCCCAGATTCCTGTTATTTGCCTCCATCTCAGGAGCTCCTCCCATTTCTTTCATGTTTACATCAGAATGCAGTTATCTTACCGAGAAACAAACACAGGAGCATTCACTTGAAGACATGGGGAAAGGCTAAATTTTACTGTTTTATAGGATTCTTCACCTACAATAAATATTCAGAAATCAAAGCTATCTCCTCCTGTCCAGGAAGAGGTCATTTGGTATTTCTGAATTGTTAGAACTTCAACTGAAGGAGGTTCCACAGCCTAGAATTTAACAGTCTCTGCTGAGAAGCACACTCCTGTGGGAGGCAACCAACGGATGTGTCTCTGTCACATCAGGGTTTCTCTCTCCCCCTCCCTTCCACTCTCTCTAAAATCAATGGAAAAAATGTCTCACTTCTCAGATCAGGATTAAAATAACAATAAAATAAATTTATAGCTGTATAGTATTTTTTTAGTGTGTTGATCTCAAGGAGGACTATTCTGAGTTTGACTGAAATTTATACTGTTTCAGGAAGGAATTTTTAAAATTATAAGAACCTAATATTTTCTATTTGGAAATATAGTACTTTAACACAGGCCAAAGAGGCTTAAAAATGTGACTAGACCCCTCTCTTGTAATCACAGGATATGTTTTGTCTAGAATTCAAATCCTTATCTTGGTTGTGGCAATGCATGGGGAGGCACTACTGAAGGGAAACTCACAGTTTACATCTAAAGTGCTAAGTGAGACAGAGCCACTCACACACTGAGACTGCATTGCGGTACCGGAAATCAGCCTATCAAAGAGTGAGTCCACACCGGCACTCTGAACGTTCCTTCACTATAGAGAGAAAAGGTGCGAACTCCGTGTCTATGCCAGCTCACCAACAGCTTTAAGCTGCTTTCTTTAAAAGCATTAGAAATGGGTCATGTTGCCGAGACCGGTTTGGCTCAATGGATAGAGCGTCGGCTTGGGACTGAAGGGTCCCGGGTTCGATTCCGGTCAAGGGCATGTACCTTGGCTGCGGGCATATCCCCAGTAGGGGGTGTGCAAGAGGCAGCTGATCGATGACTCTCTTTCATCAATGTTTCTAGCTCTCTATCTCTCTCCCTTCCTCTCTGTACAAAAATCAATAAAATATATATTAAAAAAAAACACAAAAAAGAAATGGGTCATGTTAACTCGCTCATAAATAGTTTCCCAATCCATCCCCTCCTGTGACCCACCCCTAGGATTTCAGGCCTCACTTCTTTCCCGCCCTTCATCACAACCTTCTCACTCATCAATGGCTCTGGTGGTGGGTTCCAGTCCCTCCTCCACCCTGGAGTGTGACTGTGTCATAACTTGTCCACTTAAGTACTTGTACGAGCCCCACCCGCACACTGCCTCCAGAACAGTCACCCCATACTCAGCATGAATTGGCCCACAACCTGCCCCTTGGCTCACACCAATTCCCAAACTGCCTTTTAGACTCTGGCCAGATGCAGGGACCTGGACTTCCCCAGAGTGAGCTTAGCCTGGCCAGTGTGGCTCAGGGGATTGAGCTTCGTCCCATGTACCAAGAGGTCACTGGGTCCATTCCTGCAACTGACTGGGTACCATCATGAAATCTATGCCTGGGTTGGGGGCTTGATCCCAAGTAGGGGACATGCAGGAAGCAGCCAATCAATGTTTCTATATTTCACTCCCTCTCTCTTCCTCTCTCTCTCAAATAAAAAAGTCAATAACATATTTAAAAAGTGAGCTTAGACCACCTCCTCTGAGAAGCCTTCCCAGATACGCTCTCCCCTCGCTTTTCTGGTGCAGGTATCCCCAGCACATGCTTTCCTCTCTTACAAACCCTCCACCTGGATCGGAATGAGCTGTTTGCTTTTGGCTCTCAGGGCAGAGGATGTGCCAGAGGGCAGGACTGTGTCTGTCTTCTACCACCACCCCCGGGGCGCCAGCACAGCAGTTGTCACTAGCCAGAGCTCAATAATGTTTGTGGAGATGAACGATCCGAGTTCAAGATTTCTTACTGGCATCTCAGAGCCAAGTTCTTCACACCTAAATCACAGATTAGCAGCTCACCTGGCGCTGGCCAAGCTCTATTAATTATAAAGAACTGTGCTAAGGGCAGGGAATGTGGACCACATAATGGTGAATAAAACATCAAACTCTTCAACTAACTACACTCCCATCCCAGCCACTTTACACGCAGTAACTAAGTATACAAGGAATACAAGGTGCCGTTATATACAGCAAGGGGAGCATTTACTCCTTATCAAAAAGCTAGTGAGAGCCCCTTTGAGTTGGGCTTCAAATGAAACCAAGATTTCATCAATGAAAGGACATAAACCATTCAAAATCATGAAGATAAGGTATCTATATATATAAAACCCTAAGCTGCAAATAGACTAATTGGCAGAACAACTGAACAACTGGTTGCTATGACGTGCCTGACCACCAGGGGGCTCGCGCAAAACATGCTGGGCATCAGCCGTGGTGGGATGGTGGAGCAGGTGAGTGGGGGCACCAGACCAAGATGGGGCACCGGTCGCTATCATCAGGGTGAGCCTCTGGTGGTTACTGAAAATTCTTTGCTCCCGTGCCCTGTGGAACCACCAGATACTCATACCTGCTGTCGGCATCGACCCCACTTGCACCCACTGCCAGCACCAGAGCCATCAATTGCACCCACTGCCAGCTTCTATCGCTCAGTGCCATCAGCAGGTGCGTGTGGCAGCTGCTGCCCCTGATTGCCTCAGATGGCTTCTCCACCTCCCCCTGCTCCTGAGGAGCGATAGGAGTAGCAGCCGTCACTCACACCTACTGACGGTGCCGGCTCCACTTGCACCTGCTGCTGGCACCGGCCCTAATCGCTCCACACCGTCAGCAGATATGAGAGGAGTCAGTGCCGTCAGCGGCTGGGGGCAGTGGTGGCAGGGGTGGGGCTGCTGGCAGACAGGAGACGGGGCAGTGGCAGGAGGGGGGGATGTGTGCATAGGATGGGCTGAGACTCGCTCCTGTGCCCACCACAGCCTCACGGCTCACAGTTCCTTTCAAGGTGCATGAATTCGTGCACTGGGCCCCTAGTAAAAATATATTAGTTTAAGCAATAATTTTCTTTTAATCGTAAAAGTAAAATGTACTCATTTAAAAAACATGTAAAAGCCATTTTTCTCACTTCTATTAGTCTGGGTTAGCACTGCAATACCTTTTAAAATATTTTTCATCACACACACACACACACACACACACACCACAGTACTTTATGTTTAGTACTTCTCAGCTTTCCATGTCATTACACCCCCAGAAAGGAATCTTTTAGGGTCTGATGTATCTGAACCGTTTACAGGAATCATAAAAAACAGTCTGAGTTATTAACTTGCCATTTGTTCCCCTAAGCATGTAGATTCAAATGTAAAAAAATTCATCATCAGTGTTTTCTACTTGAGACATGTCATGTGTAAGTTACCTGAGGAGGTAACTTCTTCACCTCTTTTCATTCCCAATCTTTTATAAATTTCTCTCTCAGGATCAACGTAGATTTCATGACAATACCCCGTCAGTTTGCAGAAAGGCTACAAAAAAGAGAATATGTGAGATCTTTATAAGAAAAAAGTGAGAGAAAAGTAATTATAATATAACTTAATTTCAGTAAATATAACCTACATTTAGTGGTTCAAATCATATTTTTGCTATGTCTGTTAGTTTTAATCTGCTAATTTTTCAATTTGTTATACATTTACCTCAATATGATGGTAGGATGACTGTCCAATCACTATAAGGGTGACATTTGCTTCCTTTAAGAGAAAAAAACATAGGTACATATAAATACTATTAGAAATTATGTTTCCTACACCTTCCCCTCATCCATTCCATTCCAAAGCCTCTATAGGCTTCTGGAAGAATGGAATAAATGGGAAAAGTGTGTGAGTGAAAGAAATGTACGGTAAAATGTTTCATTCTGATGATCTTTTGCTAAGTAAGAACTTTAATATAGTCAATAATTCCCTACACTCCCCTAAAGGTGTACTTGAAAAAAATAGTCCTGCATTTGGCACCAAAAGGCTGTGGGCTCAGTTCCCGCTAGGGGGCGAGCAGGAGGCAGCCTATTGATGTTTCACTCTCCACATGAGGTTTCTCTCTCCCTCTCCCTTCCTCTCTAAAACAAATCAATAAAAATATTTCAGCAAAGAATAAAGATGATTAAAGTAGTATTATTTGATCAGTTTTATTTTCTCACATCCCAATGGTAAGGTCTGGGGAACCAAGATCTGAGTTTTACAAAGGCTGTCCAATGCCCTCACTGGAAACAAAGGCTGCCCAATGCCTCACCTGAGGACAAATCTCCATGTACGTGCCTGACGAAAAACACACGTGTTTGATTGTCACAGGGATGTGGAATGTGCACCCCATTACTAATACAATTTTTCACTTTTAAGCTATATTAGTATTTTCCTATAATGAATAACTATGCGGTGTTCTTATTACAAAATAAAGGAAAGAAATCTCAATAATTGCCAGCATTTGTGTTTTTGGTCATTATCATTCAACATTTGTGGATAGGCACGTTACTAGGTAACATCAAAAGCATTCCTGTGGTCAGCACGTTTAAAAGCCGCAGTAACCAGCACCTGAAGACGGGAATGGGTCTCTAATGCGCCCCTCCCTTAGGGGGCGCTGGGGAGGCCGGGAAGCTGGTAACAGGGATAAGCGGCTCCTCACCGACCCCCGCTGCGCTGCTTATCCACGCGGCGACCGGCACAGGGTCCCGGAGGCGGGCACGCTGCTGTTCACGCTCAGGAGACTTACTTGTAAGAAACTCCTGGGGATTTTGGCCAGATCTTCCACGTACTCCTTGCAGGTGTAACACAGGAAATGCTGGGACCCCAACGGGCAAAAAGAACAAGTTAGCGACGGCCACCCTCCGGGTTCCGCAAAGACCAAGGGCTTCGTTTCTCACGACGCTAACCCAGCGCCCGGTTGGTGGGAAGGGTGCTAACCCAGCGCCCGGCTGGTGGAAAGGGTGCTAACCCAGCGCCCGGCTGGGTGGGAAGGGTGCTAACCCAGCGCCCCGGTTGGTGCAAAGGGTGCTAACCCAGCGCCCCTGTTGGGTGGGAAGGGTGCTAACCCAGCGCCCCGGTTGGGTGGAAAGGGTGCTAACCCAGCGCCCCGGTTGGGTGGGAAGAGTGCTAACCCAGCGCCCCGGTTGGATGGGAAGGGTGCTAACCCAGCGCCCGACTGGTGGGAAGGGTGCTAACCCAGCGCCCGGCTGGTGGGAAGGGTGCTAACCCAGCGCCCCGGCTGGGTGAAAAGGGTGCTAACCCAGCGCCCCGGCTGGTGGGAAGGGTGCTAACCCAGCGCCCGGCTGGTGGGAAGGGTGCTAACCCAGCGCCCGGCTGGTGGGAAGGGTGCTAACCCAGCGCCCCGGCTGGGTGGAAAGGGTGCTAACCCAGCGCCCGGTTGGGTGGAAAAGGTATCGCGACGCCGATGCACTTTAAGGCCGGGCCGCACCGTTGCCCTCTGCCTCCTCCGGTGCGGACGCCCCTCCTGGGCGGCCATGGGAAGGGCCGGGCGGAGGCCGCCTTGGACCCCGCCCTCGGGGGCCCCAAGGGTCTCCCCGCCGGGGCTGGGAGGCCACCTCCACCCCGGCTGCGGCGAGGTCCCTGCCCCGGTCCGGCCGCCGCCCGCGCTCACCCGCACGAAGACCACGATGGCCCGGCGCTCCCGGAACAGCGCGCCGAACGGCACCCGCCTCCCGTCCGAGTCCAGCACGGGAAGCCCGGCCACGGCGGCGGCCAGTGGCTGCCCGCGCGCGGGGCCGCCCGGGACCGGGACCGTGGCGGTGCGGCCGCTGACCTGCCGCGTGATCGGGGCCAGGACCGGGGCGGCCATCGCGCCCTGCCTTTGCGGGCCGAGGGAGTGGACACAGAGGCGCCGAGGTGGGCACAGGGTCACGGGGAGGCGGGGCTCAGCGGAGGGCTGTGGGGAGCGGCTTTGGGAGGCGGGGCTCGTGGAGGCCAGGCGAGCGGGAGGCGGGGCTAGTGGAGGCGGGGCTAGTGGAGGCGGGGCTAGTGGAGGCCGGCACAGCGGGAGGCCGGCACAGCGGGAGGCGGGGCTTGTGGAGGCGGGGCTTGTGAAGGCCAGGCGAGCGGGAGGCGGGGCTTGTGGAGGCCTGCGCAGCGGGAGGCGGGGCTTGTGGAGGCGGGGCTTGTGGAGGCGGGGCTTGTGGAGGCGGGGCTAGTGGAGGCCGGCGCAGCGGGAGGCACAGGGAGCTGGGAAGCGGCTGCTCACAGAGTGGGTCACTGGGTTGAGCTGCTGCATCCAGCGGCTTCGAGGTGAGGATGTGCGGCTCTCGGTTTCCACCAGGCCGCGCAGGTCTGGATGCCTGGGTGTTGCTGACAGAAACACTCCTGGTAGGAAGAGAGAGTTGGGTCCAAGGCGAGACAAGGGTTATTTAGGAAGAAAGCAGTCTCTCCAGCTGACCTGAGTTCTTTCTCAGGAGAACCAGGTGCCCAGGATTTCCTTACCCAGGACAACCATATATGGGGTCCAATAGCATTGCTACTGTGTTAGCTTATATTCCGTTTTTAACCCAGACCCTGCCACTTTCTTTCCCAAGTAATCATTAATGGTGTACATACAGATCTTAAGTGTAGAGTTACATTTTTAAAATGCATATATATTTTTTATTGATTTCAGAGAGAATGGGAGAGGGAAAGGGACATAGAAACATCAGTGATGAGAGAATCATTGCTGGGCTGCCTCCTGCATGCCCCATACTGGGGATCTGAGCTAGCAGCCCCGCATGCACCCTGTGGGGGAGTCAATCCTGACCTCCTGGTTCATAGGTAGATGCTTAACCACTTAGCCACATAAGCCTGGCAAAGGGAACCAACATTTTTATTCTTTCTTTAAAACTTGCCAGTCCATGTCATTGAGTGTTTCTTTATGAATTTAGTAAATAGTAAACAACAATTTAGTAAACAGATGAAGAAATAATGTTTCATCAGTTATGTAAAAGCCAGTTTGAAATGCAGGAATTCTTGGATTTAGGGAAACATTCTCATTTCGTGTTGAATTGTAATCTAGTTGTTTGGATTGTTGGGAAATCCATCACTGAAGAGAAGTAAAGATGGTAAGTCTATTTGTTTACTCACTCATCCATTTAATAATCAACACTCACTTATTGAGCACCTACTATCTCATAGGTCCAGTGAACTCTTCTGTTTGAAAAAACTGGACAAACTGAGAGAAAACCACAGAGCTAAGTAGGAAAGTAAGTTTTGACTCTAGTATGAGCCTTTTTGTTGGCTAATTCAATTGTAACATAACCCCTTAATTGAACAAAATAAACATAAATGAACATAGCTGTATTCCAAGCTGCTGGCATATCCACATATTAAAGAGCTATTTCAAATGACTCTAAAACATAGCATTTTTACTCTACATCCCTAGAAGGGTATTTTGATTAGAAAAATAAAACCAGAATACTAAGAAATCTTAAAGTCTTTTAAATAATAGTAGTAGCAGTAGTAGCCATTGTGATTTCAAGACTATTATATGTCTTCTGCAGGATAAAGCAAAGAAGTAATCAAAATTTTCACATAAGGGAAAGAGAGAATTATATAATCAAATAAATTGAACAAAACCCCTGTTACCTGTTATATAAGTGGGAATTGAATATAATTTTAAGAAAAATAGGCTGTATTTTTTAGAGAAGTTTTCGGTTCACAGCAAAATTGACAGAAAATAGGAAGAGTGCCCATCCCGGTCCCTGTAGGCGCACGGTCTTCTCCAGCATGAACATCCCGCACCAGAGCGTGTGTTTGTTACAGCCAGTGAACCTGCACCGACCATCCTTATCACCAAGTCTGTCGTTTACATTGCCATTCACTCTTGGGCTGTACATTCGATGGGTTTGGACAAACGTGTAAAGACATGTACCCATTGTAGTATCATACAGCACTGTTTCACTGCCCCAGAAATCCTATGTGCTTCATCTATTCATCTCTCCCTCTCACCCAACCCTTATAACGACTGATTTTTTTTTATTGTCAACATAGTTTTGCCTGTTTCAGAATGTCATATAGTTGGAATCATACAATATGTAGACTTTGTGGGTTGTCTTCTTTCAGTTACTACAGTTGATCCTTGAACAATGTGGAACATAGTCCCCCCCCCCCCCCCACACACACACACAATGCAGTGGGAAATCCTCCCATAACATTGATTCCCCCTAAACTTTATCCTCAATATCCAAGGGGGGTTGGTTCCAAGACCCCCGTAGATACCCAAACCTGCAGATGCTCAAGTCCCTTAGATAAAATGTCACAGATCAATGCAGACAGTCAGTCCTCCACATCCACTTACTTCCAATTACAGAGCATGGCCCTGGCTGGATAGCTCAGTTGCTTAGAGCATTATCCTGATATGCCAAGGTTGTGGGTTTGATCCCCAGTCAGGGCACATACAAGAATCAATCAATGAATGCATAAATAAGTGGGACAAAAAAATTGGTGTTTCTCTCTCTCTCTCTGTCTCTCTCTCTCTTTCTCTTTCTTTCCACTCTCTCTAAAATCAATAATAAAAAAATTATAAAATACCCCAGTAGAGGTATTTATTGAAAAAGTCTGCTTATAAGCGGGCCCATGCAGTTCAAACCAAATGCAGTGTTGTTTTAGGGTCAATTGCCATATGTATTTCCAATTCCTCATTGTCTTTCATTACTTCTGTCTGATGCCAAATAGCATTCCATTGTCTGGATGCTCCACAGTATTTACCCATCCTCTACCTCAGGGCATCTTGGTTGCTTCCAAGTTTGACAACTGTGACTAACGCTGATGTAAACATTGGTATGCAGTATTTTTTTTTTTTTCCATTAAATTCATTGGGGTGACTTTGGTCAACATGAACATATAGGTTTCAAAGTGTGCGTTTCTGTTAGACATAAGTTTTCAACTCCTGTGTGTATGATTGCTGGTTCATATGGTAAGAATATATTTAGTTTTGTAAGACACTGCTCAATTTTCTTCCAAAATGGACCTGTTGGGCCAAGAAATATTAAAAATTACATTTTGTCACCAATAGTTGGCCTGACATTTCAAGAAAACTGCAAAGGTGGAGAACTGGAAGAATAGAAGTGTAGAAAAGCTGTTAAAAGAGGCTCAGAAAATCTATGTACATAAGAATAAGAAACTAAAAACAGAAAACTAACATAATGTTACACGTTTTAATTTGCCTGCTTTTAGTTTTTATCACAGAAGGTCTCTTGTACTTTGTTGAAGGTATATTTTCTTGAAAGTAAAAGTGCATTTAAAATGCGTTCATAAAAGTAAACTAAGAAATGCTGACTGTTTTCTTTTTGGTAATTATTGAAAAATCATTAAGGTTTCTAAAAGTGAAGAATTCTAATACATTTTAAAGGAAGGAAGAAAGGAAGGAAGGAAGGAAGGAAGGAAGGAAGGAAGGAAGGAAGGAAGGAAGGAAAGAAAATGCCAGTACAAGTTGTTGAAGGTGTGACAGAAAGAAAGAATATTAGAGTAGAACTACTTAATGGAATGTCTGAGGCATGGCTTTGCATTTTTGAAGGACAAAGAAGGAAGGTTTATTTATTTTTTTATTTTTTTTTCTCAGTTCAAGTTTAATAGAAACTACAAAAGACCAAAAGGTGATGTCCCACTACTGTTCACATGAGATAATTTCCTCCTGAGAAGTATGGCTGACCCTCACCAAGCCCTACAGGAAAGGCCCCATCTGGGCTAACTCTAAGACTTTGTTTTAAGCATGACAATAGTAGAAGAGAAGTTCTGTTCTCATGGCTGTACATTGACACATGACCCTATAATGACCCAGTGCTCACTTCTGCTTAGAGAAATATTCTTTGCTCTTCTGGACATCAGGCTTGATGGTGTCGCTGCCAGGTTTCCAGCCAGCAGGGCACACTTCCCAATGTTTGTCAGTGAACTGGAAAGCCTGAACTAGTCTCAGAGTCTCATCCACAGAGCGGCCAACAGGAAGGTCATTCACTGTGATCTGGCGAAGGATACCTTTATCATCAATGATAAAGAGGCCCTTGAATGAGATGCCTTATCAGCCTTTAAGACCCCATAGTCCTGAGCAATGGTGTGCTTGGGATCTGACACCAAAGGAATGTTCATGGGTCCCAGTCCTCCTTGCTTCCTGGGTGGTTGATCCACACGCCAGGTGACAGAAGTGAGAATCCACAGAAGCACCAATCACTTGGCAGTTGAGTTTCTTAAATTCTTCTGCCCTATTACTGAAAGCAATGATCTCCCTGGGGCACGCAAAGGTAAAGTCAAGAGGGTAAAAGAACACCACATATTTTCCTTTGTAGTCAGATAGGCTAATATCTTTGAACTGACCATTTGGCAAAACAGCTGTGGCTTTGAAGTTGGGGGCAGGGTATTTTGGTATTTCCTGAAGTCATCTTGCTATCAGTGGCCCCAAGGCAGAAATGGCAAACCTGGCCAGACAGGAAGAAGAATCCTGAAACCCAAAGAAGGAAGGTTAAAGGCTAATTTGGAAGTGTGAAATTTGTGAAGGTTGTGTATGTATTATAATAGAGAAATGTTAAAAGGAAAATAAATGATACAGGCCAGTAAGCCAGGACAAGCAGAACAGGGAAACTGATATATTTAAACAGCAGTTTGCAACCATCTAGAAAACTCTGTCTTCCCTAAACCAAGAACACTTAGAAGTCAATGACTTGCATTGTGCCTCCCTAAACAGAGGGAAATAGCTTACACCAGAGTATTCAGGGAGACTGATAGAAGAAATCCAATTATAATGTTATTTGCTGTCCACACCCAAGGACAAATGAACTTAGGAAATAAGCCTTATTTTGGTCAGTTCTTTCTAGTAAAATAATTATGTTATATTAATCAGGTATTTAATAAAAAAGGAACCATCTTTTAGTAAAGGAACTGAAGTTTACTTAGCCTATAATTTAATAAAGGAACTGAAGTTTACTAGCCTATATTAAATATACTTTAATATTTAATCTTTTGGTAAAATCAAGTTTGACAATCCTTCAATGGTTTGAATTTTAAGAAAAATTTCTCTTGACCTAGAATTGGCTTTACTGGTAGATCATCCCAATAGGCTCTAAAATGCCTCAAATGTTTGTTTTCTCTCTCATAAAGGAAAGTTTTATACTGAAGGCACATAGGAATCTTTGTCAAATACAGTTATAATTAATAGTTATTAGTTATAATATTATAGAATGTGGGTTTTACAGAAAGGACAACATTCCATTCATTTACATTATAATGAAATCCATAACCATGTCATTTTTAGTTTCTCCTTATCATTTGGAGACAGTTATAATACATTTGGTAAAATATTACTCTGAAAAGTCCATAGAAAGGACTGGCAAGGAAAATCAGAAGATTTTAAAGCAGATCAGTGAATTTTCTCCCTATATTATCCCTCCATAATTTGGCAATACTTAAATGAATTATGGCATTACATTTCTTTGCATAAATTCAATAAGACCGGTTTCCAATTATAGTTTTATTGACCAAAAACTTTGACTGAAGTATCATGTTTTAAAAAGCCCTGTCTGGACTCTGAGTGCCATGGAGAAAGCCTGGCATCCTGCTTGGGAGCCCTGGAGCATCAGGCCCATACCCTACCATTGCTAGTCGTTGGTCAGAGTGGAAGAGGAGCAATGAGGGTGCCTCTGTGTCCCTGTGGAACCCCCACGCACTCTAGGCTCCAACAAGCAGGAGGGCCTTGAGATGGGCCTTGAAGCCAAGGGCCCCATCCCCAAATGAAGTTGCTCCAGGTGAGGAATTCACCTAACTCAGCAGATACTGCAGGCAGGCCTGACAGCAGCTGGATAGCTTAGCTTCCCTGCCTTATGGGGCACATGAGATTCAATCATGAAATTCCGGCAAGGGTGGTCAGTTACCATTCTTGTTGTGTTTATTCAAACAATCAGGCCAAATTGAGTGCAATAGATAAATTGGTCTTAATTTGGCTCTTTAATAAACATATGGGTGATTTTGAGAAAAATTCTATTTCAATAGGAGTTATTAGAACGGAAATATTTTTTTAACCTTCTACCAGACCATTTGTTGCAACTCTTGCTGTTATAATTGCTCAATAATACTAAATTTTATGATACACTATGTCTCTGCCAGGTCACAAGCCCACCTCCTTCTGTGCCCAGGCTTCATCGTCCCTCTGACAAAGAGCAAGGATCTCTTGGTTCGGAAAGAAAACCCCATCCCTCTTCAGCACGGAAGTAGCAGGGGAGCCCAACGACATCCATTTTCCCTCAAAGAATTCAGAGCCAGGATCCTTGAGGAGATGTGTTAGGCCGTTAAACAGACGTGAGCAGAGCAAGGACGATGAGCCAACAGAAGAAGAAATAACTTAAGGTGTGCTTCTCACTGCTCTGAGGCCGGAAATGAAGAAACCTGTGCAGACTCCCTCTCCCATCCTCTACAAGTTTAGAACAGTTAATAGAAGTAGTAAGCCCTGAAGCCCCAGATGTTACTCCAGACCAGGTCTCTGGACTACCATCACAATCCCTTAGGTGATGAAGATGAAAACAAACAAACAAACAAACACACACACAAAACTTGAACTGCTGAACACCCTAGCTTTGAGTCTTCTATTGAATCACCAACGCTGAAAATCAGCTTGAGGATCAAGGGAGGGGGGGATGATGGGGGAAATGAGACATTGGGGGTTGGGGGAGCCTAGCAATCTGAATCTGTGTCAGTAACCTAATGCACATTCTTGTTAGCCTATAGTCTAGCCACTGCCCCTTCTTTAATTATATGGTCCTGTTTACCTAAGTACTACCCCATTTCAGAGAGGCCATAAACCATGAACATACACAACCCCCAGACAAAGTTATCAGCACTGGCGCCAGGCCAGGCCTTTAGATGTGGCCTCATGGCCCCAACCCCAACACATGGGGCTTTTTGCAGAGCCTGCAAAAAGTCTGGAAATCCCATCCCATATTCGGGGGACAAAGAAACCAAAGGGTATTAAAGGGAAAGCTTCCTCCATATTGGCTTGCTCATAATTTGGAGAGAAACAGCCTCCCTGAAACATCTGAAAATAAATGGCTTTTCCTGTACTCCTGTGCATTTTTTGGTCGCCTGTAAATTCTGTAACAGTAGGGGGGAGCAGGAGGCAGCTGATCAATGATCCTTTCTCATTATTGGTGTTTCTATCTCTCCCCCTCCCTTCCTCTTGGAAATCAATAAAGATATATTTTTTAAAAGAACAAATGTAAATAGCCAGCATGATTACCAAAAGATTTTCAACATCACTAATTGTCAGGGAAATGCAAATCAAAACTACAATTAACTATCATCTCACACCTGTTAAAATGGCTGTTATAAAAAAGACAAAATAAATGTTGGTAAGGAAATGGAGAAAACGGAGCCTTTGCACACTGTTGATAGGGATGTAAATTGGTACAGCCACTATTGAAAACATTATGGAAGTTACTAAAAAAAACTAAAAATAGAACTACCATTTGACCCAACAAATCTACTTCAGGTATGTACCCACAGGAAATAAAAACAGGATATTGAAACAATATATATGCACTCCCAGGTTTGTTTCAGTATTATTCACAGTAGCTCAGATATGGAAACAACCATTCAGTGGATACATATACACTGAGTGGCCAGATTATTATGATCTCTGATCACATAATAATTTGGCCACTCAGTGTATAATCCTATATAATAAAAGACTAATATGCAAATTGTCCCTTCAATCAGGAATTCAACTACCCTGTTTCCCCAAAAATAAGACAGTGTCTTATATTAATTTTTGCTCCCAAAGATGCACTAGGTTTTATTTTCAGGGGTTGTCTTATTTTTCCATGAAGAAGAATACAGTACACATTTATTGTTAAATGAAAATAAAGGAAATTTATTACCTGTATACGGTATGGTAGTACGTTAGTTGTCAACACAAACCAGACAAACTGTGAATCCTATACTATCAAGAATTTACTCATTTATTCAATGACAATCATGTCATCATCTTCTGGAACATCATCATAACAATCCACTTCCTGAATTTCCTGGTGAATTTCTTGTGACTCCATTTCTTTCAGAATCAGTGGACCAAATCTCTCATGTTTAGCGGGGCCGGGAGAGGGGGGGGGGCTTATTTTCGGGGGATGCCTTATATTTCACTCAGAAGGAAACCTGTAAGTAGGTCTTATTTTCGGAGGATGTCTTATTTTTAGGGAAACACAGTAGCAGGCAGGCTGGCCAACTGCCCATGTCCTCTCCCCATGGCCAAGCTGGCTGGACCCCATGTGCACGAATTCATGCACTGGGCCTCTAATACACACACACACACACACACACACACACACACACACACACACTGAGTGGTCAGATTATTATACATTCAGAGATCATAATAATCTGGCCATTCAGTGTGTGTGTGTGTGTGTGTGTGTGTGTGTGTATCATAATTTTTTATCCATTTACCCATCAATGGAAACAGGTTGTTTCCATATCCTGTCTATTGTAAATAATGCTGCAGTGGCCCTAGCTGGTTTGGCTCAGTGGATAGAACGTCAGTGTGTGGGCTGAAGGGTCTCGGTTTCCATTGGGGTCAAGGGCACAAGCCCGGATTGTGGACTCGATCCCCCATAGGGGATGTGCAAGAGCAAGCTGATCAATGATTCTCTCTCATCATTGATGTTTCTCTCTCCCTCCCCATTCCTCTCTGAAATAAATGAAAATATATCTATAATAATAAAAGTGTAATATGCTAATTAGACCAAATGTCCTTCCAGATGACCTTCTGTAAGCCTGGGCTGTAAGGGAAGCCCAGGTTCTGGGTGCAAGAGGGAAGCTGGTGCCAGCAGCTGGGGGAAGGAAGGCCTACTCTTGCAGGAAATTCATGTATTGGCCTCTAGTTTTAAAATAATGATGCTGCAATGATCATAGGGTGCAGATATCTTTTCCAATTAGTGTTTTCATGTTCATTGGATAAATACCCAGATGGGGAATTGCTGGATCCTATGGTAGTTCTATTTTTAATTTTTTTAGAAACTTGCTTGGTGTTTTGTTTGTTTTTTAATGTGTTTTTATTAATTTTTAGAGAGAGAGAGAGGAAGGGAGAAGGATAGAGAGATAGGAACAACGATGAGAGAGGAACATCACCAATTGACTGCCTCTGCTTACCCCCTATTGGGATCAAGCCCACAACCTGGGCATGTGACCAGACTGGGAATCGAACCGGTGATCTCTCGATTCCTGGTTCAACCACTGAGCAATACCAGCCGAGCTGCATCAATTCACATTCCCATCAACAGTGCACAATATTTCCTTTTATCCACATTCTTGCCAACAATTTGTTTATAATAGCCATTTAACAGGTGTGAGGTGATATCTCCTTGTGCTTTTGATTTGCATTTTCCTGCTGATTATGATGTTGAGCATTTTTTCACATTGGTTATCTGTGTATTATCTTTGAAATATGTTTATTCAGGTTGTTTTTGCCCATTTTAAAATTATTTTGTACCTGTTGTCTCTTTTAACAGAATAAACAAACTCAGTAGAGTTATAGGCCAGAAAGCCCATTTTATACTTTGATTTTGAGTTGTGTGAGATACTTATATATTTAGGATGTTAGCCCCTTTCAATACATGATATGCAAATATTTTCTCCCATTCAGTAGGTTGCCTTTTCATTTTGTTGATGGTTTCCTTTTCTGTGCAGAAATTTCTTAGACTGATGTAGTCCCACTTGTTTATTTTTGCTTTTGTTGCTTTTGCTTTCAGATAAAAACAAAACAAAACAAACAAACAAACAAAAACATGGTCAAGACATATGTCAAGGAGCTGCCTATATTTTCTTCTCAGAATGTTATGGTTTCAAGTGTTATGTTTAAGTCTTTGATCCATTTTGTTTAAGATGTTGAAATTCATATTTTTTTGCATGTAGTTGTCTAGTTTCCCCAGCACCATTTATTGAAGAGACCATTCTTTTCTTATTGTATAGTCTTGGCTCCTTTGTTATAAATTAATTAGCCATGTATGCATGGGTTTATTTTGGGGAATCTCCTTTTTTATTGTTCTATATGTTTATTTTTATTACTATACCACAGTTTGAAGTTAGGGAGGGTAAACCTGCCAATCTGGCATTATATGGTCCTCACTAGTGAAGGAATCGGTCTGGTAGCCTTCTGCTGTCCCCCAAAGAAGATAGCCGACGGTGCCAGTCAATTTGCTTTTTGTTGGTATGATGTACCTGTTCGGTTCCTTTCTGCCTATGAAAGTATTTTATTTTGTACAACTTCTCAGAATGCCTTTCTATTTTCTAGATGGGATACTGCTTGATTCATTAATAACTGAATAAAGCCAACAAGATCTTTAAAATTTACTCAGTTGACTTGTTTTTGACTATTCTAAAAATTTTTATTTTGATGGAGTCTTTAGGGTTTTCTCTATATTACGCCATGTCACCTGAAAATAGTGAGTTTTACTTCTTTCCAGTTTTGGATGCCTTCTATTTCTTTTTCTTGCTTAGTTGCTCTGGCTAGGACATCTAATACTATGTTGAATAAAAATGGTGAGAATGGGCATCCTAGTCATTTTTCCTGATCTTAGCGGAAAAGCTTTTAGCTTTTTACCATTGGATACAATGTTAACTGTTGGCTTGTCATATTTGGCCTTTATTATGCATTTTTAAAATTTTTATTTTTAAAAACTATAGTTGACATTCAATATTACTTTGTATTAGGTTTGGGTGTACAGCATAGTGGTTAGACATTTATATAATTTATCCCTCAGATAAATCTAGTACCCATCTGGCATCATACTTGGTTATTACAACACTATTGACTATACTTGAGGCCCAGTGCACGAAATTTGTACATGGAGGGGGGGGCGGAATGTCCTTCAGCCCAGCCTGCACCCTGTCCAATCTAGGACCCCTTGAGGGATGTCTGACTACCCATTTAGGCCCGATCCCTCTCACAATCCATGACTGCTGGCTCCCAACTGCTAGCCTGCCTGCCTTCCTGATTGCCCCTAATCACTTTTGCATGCCACCCTGATCACCCCTCAACCACTCCCATGCCAGCCTGATGGATGTCTAACTGCTCCCCTGCCAGCCCATTTGCCCCCAACTTCCCTCCTCTGCCAACCTGATCACCCCTAACTGCCCTCTCCTGCAGGGTTGATTGCCTTCCTTGCAGGCCTGGTGCCTCCCAACTGTCCTCCTCTGCTGGCCATCTCAGGTCCACAGAGGGGCAGGATCTTTGACCACATGGGGGCAGCTATTGTGTGTTGGAGTGATGGTCAACTTGCATATTACTCTTTTTTTTAGATAAGATAGAGGCCTGGTGCAGGGGTGGGGGCGAGCTGGTTTGCCCTGAAGGGTGTCCTGGATCAGGGTAGGGGTTCCCTTGCGGGGTGGGGCAGCCTGAACAAGGGCCTGTGGTTGTCTGCAGGCTGACCACGCTCACCAGAGACCCAAGCTGGGATATATTTACTTTCTACGATTGAAACATTGTAGCCTGGAGTGGAGCCAAGCCTCCTGCTGCTCCGTGGAGGCAGCCATTTCTGTTTGGACTTGTTTACCTTCTATAATTGAAACTTTGTAGCCTTGAGTGGAGGCTTAGGCTGGCAAGGGCAGGTGGAAAGCTTGGCTTCCTTCGTTGCCAGGGAAAAGCTCCCCTCCTGCTCTCTGTGGCTGTAGCCATCTTGGTTGGGTTTATTTGCATACTCATTCTGATTGGCCGGTGGGCGTGGCTTGTGGAGCAGAGTGATGGTTAATTTTCATATTGCTCTTTTATTATGTAGGATTCCCTACATTGTACTTTGAATCCCTGTGATTGTTTTGTGACTACCAATTTGTACTTCTTAATATCTTCACCTTTCTCACCACTCACCTGGTCATCTCCCTTCTCTCTGGCAACCATCAGTTTGTTCTCTAGGAGCTGTTTCAGTTTCATTTTATTCTTTAGATTCCACATATACTTGAAATCGTATGGTATTTGGCCTTTATTATGTTGAAATGTGTTCCTTGTGTATCATGTTTGTTGGAAATTTTTATCATAAATGGATGTTGAGTTTTGTCAAATGCTTTTACTGTACCTATTGAGATGATTATGTGATATCTTTCATTTTGTTACTGTGATGTATCTTATGGTTTGCTTTAAAAATTGTTGAACCACCCTTGCATTCCTAGAATAAATCCTATTTGATCATGGTGTATGATCCTTTGAAGGTATTGTTGAACTTGGTTTGCTCATATTTGCTGAGT